TATAAAAACAACTTATATACAATTCGAAAGAGGAGAAAAAGCTCTGTCTTTTGGTAAAAACAGTTTGCTTTCAGTGCCTTTGCAACGACGGAAAATGGGGTCTGACACATTTGTTCCATTACTTTTGCATCATACTCTATTTTCAGTGGATATCAGTAGTTAAAAACTTCAAGATTTTCATGTAGAAGAAAACAATTTTCAACTTTTAGACAATTAATTTACATTGCAATGGACGAAAATAATTTTTAACACAAATCAATGCATCATAGTTTAACAAATTGTTTTTTCATGCCACCAGATTATTAGTATGAGCTATTCAGCAGAAAACATAGTTGCTAATCAGTAAGTGTTGAATTTTATACGACTGAAGTAATTTCTATATATCACAACAATATTTTTTTCTTCATTATAAGACACTAGCGGAAGTACCCGATGTTGGTCGAGATAATTTGATAGTACGTATTTGGTGTAAGAGAAAACGACGTCGCTATGGTCTTCTTCTAGTTAACGATCTTTGATGTCGCAAAAAGCGCTCGGCTCATGTTTCTTTTTCAATTTTTTTGTTTTTCACATTTGAAATTGTTTAAAAATATCCTTTTTCTTTTCGATATTCTTTCTGTTTTGTGAGCTTCTTTTATTAAAAAGAGACTGTTCAGTGAAACACAATTTTTATTGTAAAGCTGTTTGATACACAATGTTTCTGGTTTTCCCATCAGGGGCAAAAATATACAAATTCTTTCCAGTTCCGACTCTTGAAAGTGCTACGTAAAGTTGACCATGAGAAAAGCAAGAAGTCTCTAGATTAATACCAGCAACCTGACATGATTGTCCTTGAGCCTTATTGATAGACATCACGAAGGCAAGACGTACTGGAAACTGAAGATGCTTGAACTCAAATGGCATATCAGTAGAAACCATGGGTATTCGTGGTATGAATACATCCTCACCTTTTACGCAGCCTGTCAAGATTGTTACTTCAATAACATGAGGCATTAGACTTTTCACACATAGTCTTGCACCATTGCATAGTCTTGGTGCATCCAGGTTCCTCAGAAGCATAATGGGAGAACCAATTTTGAGCAGCAAGTTGTGTGGTGGCATCCCAGAAGGTTCGAGAGAGATTTGAGGAATTCAGTGAGATACTGAACCGCTTCGTTGACATCCGCAACTGTATTAACCGACTTGTAAGATGTAGCTTCTCCAGGGAGCTCTTGTTGAATCTGTAGGTTGATGGCATTCGCGCTGTTATTTTTAGGGGCAAGAATAGCACATTTACATAGCCATTTATGATCCTTGAAATAGCTCCGGATGTGCGGAAACACATTGCTCTACTGTGTTTCAATCGATTCAACGACATTGCAAAAATTATCCGGAATGCTGATGAGCCCACTGGTCGGTTCAACTGGTACTTTTCCATTTCCGATAGTGAGCAGTTGTTGAGCGAAAGTGTCAGCAGACACATCACCTTGCAGATGAACTCGCATGTTGGGTTTTAGTCCTAATTGTATAACATGTCTCAGAGGTATGAAGCTTTCAAGCAAGCTTTAAGCTCATCAGCCATTGTACCCTTTGGAATAACAAGCAACGTTTGACGAAAATCATCTGCAAGGAGTACAACAATTCCACCCATATGTTTCCCATTGCCACGAAGATCTTGAAGAGTACAATCCAAGGCCTCTAATGCTTGCCTGTGTAACATTGTACATTCGTTCCACACAATAAGTTCACACTTTTGCAGAACCTTGGCTTTTCTAGTTCCTTTGCTGATGTTGTAGAGAGGAGTTTCACAATGTATAAAGTTGAGAGGCAGCTTTAGTGTTGAGTGAGCAGGACGACCACCATGAAGCAGCGTAGCAGCAATACCCGAAGAGGCCACTGCAATTACGATCTTTGATTGCCATCGAATTTTAGCTAAGAGTAAGTTGATGACGAATGTCTTCCCTGTTCCACCTGGTGCATCAAGAAAAATTATTCTTCCAGCTTTCCTGTTAAGATGTAATTGACAGATCCAGCGCGCACCATCATTCTGTATGCATAAAAGTTCATAGCCGATACTTTCTTGTCGTCGACAGGCATTCTTGTTATAGAGTCAACCTGCATGATGAGAAAATAATAGCCGCCTTCTCCCTCCCAAAAGATGATAGGATATTGCAAGGCGTCATAAGACCTGTGCGTCTCTACCACCCTCTGTAGCTGATTGTTTCTTTTCTCCAAGACAATGTCCCGCCTGTCAAATTCATTACAAGCAATGACGATCGCGACTTCATTTGTCGTAGGTGCATTGAAGCGTCACTCATGCTCACCAGCAGGTCTCTTGTCCGCTCGAATGACTACTCTGTGCGCGTCATAAGGTATTCTTTGAAGAGCAGATTTTAAAATGTGGACATAGCTGTTATACTGATAAAGCATTTGCTGTATTTTCGTAACGATGTCTTGATGTGTGCCAGGAATATTACTGCAGCGCTGTTTTGCTTCTTATCGTTCGTCACCCATGAAGTAAATTTGAAGAAATTTATGTTCCTCATTCGAGGGTGGCAACGGAGATTCCACATGATGGTAGACTTGCCCCTGAACCTTGAAAGTGGGCATGAAACCTGGCTCACACACTTCCTTTGTTACGCCAAAAGACGTCATGTGAAAGCAGGAGTTGTACTTTCTAATGTTTTCCAGAAAATGCTTCGAGTCGGACGGTGTTCCTGACATCAGCGATTTCAATGGTTCTGGAGGAGGTTGAAGTGTTGGCAACATCACCTTATCACCGGAACAACACAAGCCAGATGCTTCTCCAGGCCACTTGAGAGCATCACAGTATGAGCAAACGTCGTTCATTTGTTCAATATCAAGTTGAGGATAGTTGTCGTAGCTATTGACTGGATCATATCGAAATGCTTCCCCTTCCATGAATGTCCAACGTGCTGCTCTTGAGACCGCATGCCTTGCTCGATCTTCTTCGCGTCGAGCTTGTCCTTATGCTGAAGTCTCGGCTGCTCTTGAGGCCGCATGCCTTATTCGATCTTCTTCGCGTCGAGCTTGTCCTTGTTCTGGAGTTTCGGCTGCTCGGGAGGCCGCCATTCTTCTTGAAGCCGATGTGCTTCTTCCCAAAAAGATTCTTCTTTTTGGTGGCATCTCGTAGTATTCCTGATGTAAGTTGGAAAGGTAGAAAATGCTCCTTAAGAAAGGTCTTTTTACAAAGTCACCTTTTAAATCTGCTCTTGATATCACAATCGAGAATACTTTGGTAATCCGTTAGTTTTGTGATGTTTAAATTCAATGTTACACACTTACTTGTTTTTTGCGTAATTATATTCGCTGGTAAAATACGTATCTTATTAGAATCACCGAAGGGTGAGCAACACTATAGTGAATATATAGCTCTTTTATCGAAAAACAATAGAAAAAGACCTCTATATATATAGATACAAAACGCTGAAACATTCCGATAACATCATTCCATAGCATGATGTAAAATTCTAATGACGACATATGATGCGTCAGAAAGAATGTGATGCATCATGATCATACATAACAAATAACAAAGAAACTAATTTATATTCAAGAATGTACTACAGTTGATTATCTAATCATATCATTCTGAGTCAGGAAATAGAACGAATACGTGATCATTGTGAGCTAGGAAAAAAGCTCATATACACATTTTTTTCCTTAAGGCACATTTCTGAAAAATTAGAACATTTTTGGCAATTTTTCAAAAAATGGGGGGGAGGGGGCAGGGAATCTTCTTTCCTTCCCCCCACTCCTCGGGTGCGCGGGCTCCGTGTTGGCCTTCTACGGTCGTGCATGGCACTGCAAAAATCGGATCAAATTCTCTAAAATTTCTGAACAATTAGAAAATTTTCCTCAATATTTCAAAAAATGAGGGGAAGAATCTTCCACCCCTTCTCCACTCCTCGGGTGCGCGGACCCCCTCTCGATCTTCCTCTGGACCTAGGAAAGTGCCATGGAAAGTTTGGTGAGGCTAGCTATTACAGGGACTGAACCCATAGCGAACAGACAGACAGACATTCTTCTTTATATATATAGATGTCATTAGCAAACTATTGTAGTAAGAAGTATTGATACAATCTTTTGTGTTCGAACCGTATGATAAACAAAGAAAAACGGAGATAGTCTTTCCTTTGAAATTTTCTCTCATGTTCAGTTTTTCACTCTGAAATATTTTGCTAGCTGCTATTTATCCATTTTTGTAATGTTTTGTAGAGTACATATAATGAAAACATTGAAAATAGAAAGCTTTCTTCCTATGTTCATAGTGAAGCATCCATTTCTTATGAAAGAGTTCCAATTAATATAGTTAGATCGGATTCCATCTGACAGATTTGAACTCCAATTGGATACGATGATCGAATACTTTCTACAGTTATCTGATTACTTATAGAGTTTTCTGTTGATATTCAATTATCGAATTTATTAGGCTCTAATCAAATTCACAGTTATCAACAACAATGAAATCTGATAGATAGAAACAGTCTAATTCAATATCATCTGGTATTATTTAATGTCAAGAAGTCATTGGAATCTGCTGTGCCAAATTATAATCGAAGTAAGATCTGATGATAAAACTCTCTTAATACCACCTGTCATCGGAATATGTTGGATTATATAAGAATGGAACAGTTTTATTCATTGAATTCCATTGATTTTAACGGCGTGGATTCAATCGAGAGGGGTTATCTGCAGTTATCGAATATAAATGAAAAGTTTTGTAATGGATTAGGCATTAGTACTCAGTGTTTCATGGAAACGGTGATGACAAGTAATTGTATTCTCAACAAATTTCATTAGGTTTAGTCGAGGGAAATCGATCATGATTGATGACACAGTAATAGTTTTATTAGTCGTAGTATCAAGATCAAGAAGAGTGAGCTCCCAAGCATATAAATTTTAGAGTGATCTATATTATATTCTTAGAAATCTATATTACATGTTTCATTTGATATAGCATAAGCTATAGTAGTCATTACATGTCGACCTATTTTTATTTACATTTTAATTTTACATTTTTTTCGGCATTGTTTTTCTGATTTGGATAATTTTGTTATTGTTTCTATTTGTGGTTGTTTTTGTTTTATCGATAGTTCTTGAATCAAATTATATTAATTTTGCTTGTATTCTTAAAGCATTTTTGCTCATTAAACTGTGATAATAATATACGAGTTTGTTTGTCAAATTTTGGTAATAATATTTGATGTTCTTTATCTTCACCAATATACGATGGTTTATCATTAAGACTTAATTTAACATGTGATGTTATTGTAGGCGAAATATCAAAAATATCATTAATCTTAACTTTCCTTGGAAACATATGAAAATATAATCGGATAAAAGTAGTACAATCATTTGCTGCATATTCTTTCATTTGTATACGTTTTTGTTCTTCTTTTTCTTTATGATATTGATATAGACTGAATCATTTACTCATCCATGTATTAAGTTCCAAATCAGGACTACATGGCTATGTATGAATTGTTTCTGATGCATCTAGAAAGTGTTTCAATACTGATGCAACTACATCTTGAAGTGACCATTTACTGTTCGGATCATAATGAGTATGATGAACATAATTACAACAAATGTTGTTAATTTCTCCTTGTTCAGTAGCATAATTGTTTTCATCGAGCGTACCTTAACTATCAAATAATATTCTTCTGGTTATTTCATCACATCTTTCCATTTTAGGATACGTTTTACATTAATTATCTCATTTCCTAGATAAAAACTATAAATTAATTTCTTTTTTGCATTGTCAACATCAATCAGTCCAAAATGATTAAAGTTTTCTAATTCTTCATCAAGTAGTCTACATACTACAATTTTATTATGATTACTGCTGTTGAAGATCATTGAGCAAAATTCCTTTATTTACCTAAACAAAAGCGATTGTCGATCTGATAAATAATAAGTTTTGATTAAAATAATCGTCGAATGATTAATTGAATATACAAATTGAATTTGTATTAGTGCGCCTTAATCAGCTTGTTTATGTTTTCAGATTCTGTATCAATTGTATTTTGTTTGGTATCTCTTGCCTTTATAAGTAGTTCATTAACAGCTGCCACTATCGATCAATAATGAAGACGAATAATTGTGTTGTTAGATATTGAATGAAATAGTAAGAATTTTGTTCTTAATTCTTTATTTTTTTTTTCGCTTTTTCAAATGGTACGACGCCAACGTCGTTGTTATTTAATGGTTAATTTATAATAATAGGCTGATGGATCAGATAAATTTCGTTCTGCACGAGACATAATAGTAGATTACTAAAACAAATATTGTATAGGTTATTATTAGTTAAACGTGGCGGTATGAATTTTCTTCTCGTATAAAATGTGTTCTTTTTCTTTATATATATATATATATATATATAGACCATGATTCGATCGATATGCATATATGAAAATTTTTCTTTTCTTTTTGATGAAAGTGCTTGTTTAGATAACACATTTCTCTTGTAAAGTAAGAATTTTCATCATTGAAATTATCTTATGCTATTCGTTTCAAGACTTGTTTTTTTTTTGATAGTTGAACATACAAGGCACAGTACAAAAGTTGTTTCGCCAGCTCTTTGGAGAAATATTCAAAGGCCGATTCTAGTGTGTTTTTTTTAAGTATTACTCCTCATCGACAATGCACTGGTGTACTCGATTAAAATAGCTTGTGGAGGTAGAGCTTGAGATAAATTCTTACGAGACCATTAAGGCCTGTTCAAATCATGTGTAACATTGGATTGCTGCTGTCGAATCTACTGTTGTGTAATTAAAATTTCAGTTTTAACCCCAGAAAGGGGTCTCATGGGTTTAGGTCTGTGGAATATGCTCAATTAGCAAATACTTCCAGATGATTTAGGGTGATAAATTCATTATCCGTCCAGTAAGTCGATGATCTTCCGTTTTCATAGTGAAACCTAGTATATAGAATATCATTCCTTTATTTTTCTTCTGAAGTAGTTTTAAACTTACGTCAGGCACCTATTGACAGGTTAACTTCTATCTACTAGAATCTAATGGGATGAGCTTCCTTTGTCTATATTTGTTAGAGAAAGAAGGTATGATCTGAACTTTTGTTTGGACGAGCTTTGACTGCGTGTGGGTTGTTTTATAACAGTCAAATCTTCGTCTACGCTTCTTATTTTTTATTCTAATAACATAACTATGATCGATCACTCGTGATAATGTCCAATACAAGATTGAAATCGAACCATCCCAATCTCTTCAAAAAATGACAAGACGATTAAACATAGGACGAAATAATTGCTGGTGAAATTGTGTTCAGAGTGTCTCCTATTAATTCATATGTTCAGTAAGGACTATCTTCAATTATTGCTTGGACAGCATCTATTGTTTCTGTGTAAACAGCAGCTGAGAGACAACCTGAACGGACAACATGAATTTTGTCGGTTGAAATTCATAAGGTCTATTCTGAACTATTTGATCTGAAGCTTCTCGATCCTAGTATGCCTATACTAAAAGAACATGACTTTTTGTGTAAATTGAACGCATTTTCTCTTCACATAAAATCATAGCTCGAAACGGTTCTTGTGAATAGGTTAAAAAATGATTTATGAGTGATCTGAAACGAATGCAAGAATAAAACGTTGTACAACGCGTAGAAGTTTGAAATTGTGCATATTACAGAACTCTTGACCTCAAGATACTGGTTGTAGTAGGGCCGAACGAAAAAACTTTTATAGTACCTGATGTACTAAGAGTGGAATGAGGTTTCAAAATAGAGACTGAAAACATTTGTTTGTAAATTTTTTTTAGCAAAGAAAATCTTGTCATAAGAGAATTTTGGAGGATGATTGTATATTATTCTTAGAAGGATATTAGAAATTAATGGTTATCGAAATTTTCTTGTGTCTACTTAGATTTGATATTGTCAAAAGGTTACTGTAAATTGTATCATCAGAACATTTAAGAAACTGAAAAGTAAAAAAAAAAGAGTCAACTAAATATTTTTATCACGTTTTTTAAATAATACTATTCACCTTGTTAAGACTGTGTAGATATATAACATGAAAAATTTTGTTTAAATCAAGAGTAAGGAATTACATCGACAAAAATGCCAAACCTTAGAGATATGCGATAGATCATAGTGCTGATTGTGCTCATATTAGATCTCATTCATGATTGCTTTAGGGAATATTATTGATAGAATAGAACATTAATACACCAAATTCAAAGAACAAAATCATCAGTTTTTCGTATAATAATCTTTTTTTTGCCATATCTTTTTCTGAATATTCACTATAAGTAGAGTCCGTCGAATTGGTCTGGACTCTGGTCTGAAAATTTTGGATCCGATGGGTTCTAGTCGTCTGAGAAATGTGTCGGGTGTGCTAGTCAACAAATACAAAAAAATCGAACAAAATTATCTCGCATCTTCGGGATGCTTATTCACCTTCGATTAAAAAATTTCATTAAGAGTGTCAAAGTATGGTTCGAGTCCGGATCCGAAAATTTTCGACTCGATGGACTTTAACTACGAGACAAAAAAATATAGCTTTCGTCGTACAACGATGTTCATTGTTTAATATTTAAATAAATAGAAAATCAATTGAAATTTGCTTTATTTATTGAAGTAGAATGTCTATCAAGAATTCAAATATAACAAATTAATATTTGTCATGTAAAGAATTACAAACCATTACGATAATATATAATCATTTTTAATTATTCATGACCTTTTATGTTTTTATTTTCAATGGAATTAGTAAGAACAAAACATTATTTATCAATGTGTATTTTATTGTGAAAATAAATAAAAAATATATAAATAAAATTCTTTATTTGTTCTTTATATTTAGAGTATGATGTTATTCATAAATTGACACAAAAGGCTCTTGAGTTTTCTTTTTTATTACTTGGACAGAAAACTATGCGTTTACAGAGAAAAACTTGTAAACAAAACAGAAAAATTTCAATAAACTCTAAGCTTTTGCACTTTCATAAAGGTTTTGAAAAAGTTCTTTATATTTCTTTTCTACAGCATATCGACGTGCTTTAAATGTTGGCGTTAAAAGTCCATTTTCAATTGTAAATGGTTCTTTAAAAAATTCAATTGCTTTAACTTGTTCATATGGCATTAATCCACGTCTTTTACCTTCACGAATCATATCATCAAGTATAACTTGCTTTAATTTATTATTCAATTCAGGTGATATTGTTGTATCACCATTATATCCTTCAGTTTTTGCCCATTGTTTTATATAATCATCATTCAATAAAACAATAGCAACAAGAAAACTTTCAAATGAATTACCATAAACAAATATTTGAGAAATAAATCGACTACGTGCATAAATATCTTCAATTTTTTCTGGTGCTACATATTCACCTTGACTTAACTAGAACATAAATAAAAATACATTTAGATTTTTTGAAAATTTCCAATATAATAGAATACAAATAAAAGGACTGTAGCATAGTGATTTCACAATATTTTATATCAAATTTTGAAATGTCTTGTACATGTACGAATTGATACGATACAGAATTGGCAAAGTCAAATTAAAGATATTTATCTAATTCAAGTTATTATTCATGTATTCTATTATAGATCCCACATAAGTACTTGAACATAAAATGTGATTAGATTCTCATGTGCTTCTCTATGTAATGGTTTCTTTGCAGATAAGTCATTGAATTTGTCATCAGTATCGGATTTAGAGATGAATATTACAAATCGTTATTTGTGTCTTCGAAATTGTTTTTGTCCAGTTTCTCCGTTAAAAGAGAAAAGAAACGAAACTATACTCTCTCGAATTTTACGTAAAAAGTAGGTTTTCACCATGATTGCTTCTCTCAGATGCTTGTTCAATATCCTTAGTATTTATATTCTCGAATGTTATCTATTTTTTCAATTCCACAAACCTTATACATATTTTTCTTTCGATCAACAATTTTCATTGTCTTATGCGGTGTCCATTGACCAATATCACCTGTATGTAACCATCCTTCTTCATCAATTGCTTCACGTGTTTTAGCTTCATCTTTCAAATAGCCTTTAAAAACACCTTTACTTCGAAGACATATTTCTCCAATACCATCTTTAGCATAATATTCTTTTTCAGGTACATCAACTAATTTAAGATAATTGAGTGGTGTTGGAATACCTGTTGCACCTGCTTCAATATCGTTTACTGATTGTGCACAACCTATTACACATTCTGTTTGACCATAGGCTTCAACAAAAAAACATGAAAATGCAGCACGTGAAAATCGACAAACTTCAGGTGAAAGTGGTGCACTTGATGAAACAATGCGATTAACTTGACCACCAAATGATTGACGAATTTTGTCAAAAATAAGTTTATCCCATATTGTATTTTGTGAAAAATTTCCACGTCGAATAAGTGCTAATTTACTTTGAACAGCCAATCGAAATAAAACACGACCAGGTACACCTTTTTTACGAAGTTCTGATCGAGCTTTGTCATATAATCTATTAAGTAAACGAGGTACCATTGTAAGAAGTGTTGGTCGAAAATCATGAAAATCATCAAGTAATTTATCAACTCTACCTTGCCAAAAGCCAATTTCTCCACCTAGAAAACTCAAAAGAAATATCATTTAACAATACTTCAGTATTAACTATACCTAAATAAGTTAAAGAAATGATCGTTCCACAACCAAACAGATGAGCTAAAGGCATATAATTTAATACTCGAGCAGTTTCATTTGTGTTTAATAAATCAATAGCAGATGCAACACCAAACATTGAATATATGAAAGTTTCATGAGCAATAATACAACCTATATTCATAAATATTTATTTTGAAAATTAAAATTAAAATAATATATTTTTTCTACCTTTTGGTTCTCCTGTACTTCCACTTGTATACATAATCATTGCTGTATCAGCCGGTTTTGGTGGTACTATTTCAATTGGATTATTTCGACCAATTTCTCTTAATTTTT